GAGCAAGGCGAGGAGTGCACGCGATCCAATACCTCGCCGCATAACACCAGGGAATACTTAGCCAACTGCATACTTCCTTTGAACATTTATAGTCTGTTTGCTGTTATAGACATTAAGCTTTAGTTCACAGGCCTCCCACTAACATCAGTCCAGTGACGGACTTATCCAAAACTGGAGTTATCCAGCTCACAGACACAGACACAAAGATCTCACATTACACCTGTTCGGCTCCTGTTCAGTCCCAGAAGCACATATTAAATGTCCTTTGACCCTGAGCTCATTCAAGTATAAACTGAAGACTCCTTTTCAGACCCTCCCTTAGGCTTGTGTAGTTTAGTTTAGTTTAGTTTAGTCTTTATTTGAAGGGACAATGTACAGAGACATTAAGCTCGAAGACAGATATGCTCTCCACCAGATTATAGCTAAACAGCTAGTTTCCATCTGCAGTCTCTGGTTGCATAAATAAAATAAAATACATGGATACAGTAGTGTACAATCCAATAGAAATTACTTCGCAATACAACACACTCTCTGATACAGACACACACATTTAGCCTTATACCTGTTTGTTATAACAACACCTCATTCCCAGCATCACACATGCACAATACATCTACTCAGTCACATGTCACAACCACACATTCAGATGATACATAAACACATTCAGTACATTTCTCATCATACATAGATCACATACATCCATTTCTCATCATCACTTGTCGCGGCAGATGTGAACTGAAGTGTTACCCCTGCACTGCCCTCAAGGGATTTATCTAGTTCCATGGCTCTTTGTGAAGCACATTGAGTCACAGTTTCTTGCGTGAAATGAACTATAGAAATAACTTTTCTTCTTCTAATCTGCAATTTCTCAAACAACAGTTTTATGAAGCCCCCCAAGACGACTGCTTTTAGGATTTTGGGCTGCACAAAATCCCACTTTATTTTCTCGTTATGTCCATAGCCTTAGGCTGCTAATAGATGCACAATCATCATTGGGAATATTACTCTGTACCCTGACTGCTAATTCCTGATCTTCTTCAATTAAAAATGCCGTACAGGGACCCATCCCCAGATATTGATGCTCCGCTTAGTCAGGACTACCAGACCTGGAGCATTTTGCATATTGTACATGTTTTCAGTGGTAGGGGAAACTGGCAGTGATGTGCGGTCAGATGAGGCAGGTGCCCAGCCTCAGATCATGGAAAGAAAAAAGAATGTGAGCGCAGAATTCAGCTGCATCCACTTCCATCAGAAAGCTCCTTTCTTGTTCTTCATCTGCTAAGGGCAGCCACAGGTTTGGCTAACATACACATAACACATATTAAGATAATTCAAAATGCACTTAGGGTAATGTTATCATTCCAATGATGATATGAATGATGAGGAAAAGAGGTGAAGGGTAAGAAGGCGGATTTTAGAAATCGGATGCACCCGAGAGTCGGCTCCAGTGAAACATGAGAGGAGTTAATGGAGGAGACACCCGTTTGTTTTTACTTTTTAAACTCATTGGACTTATTTCCAAATAGAGGATTACATTATACACTCAAACTATTATCTTATATGGACTTAAACATGAAACTGGTCTGAACTGAAGTGGTCTGTGCAGTTTATTTATAATTTATGTATTTATTTATTTATTTATTCATAATAACACACTTGTAAATGTGCTGGTGTCTGATTCTTGCTTTACTTTTTGAATAAGCACCTGTATTGCATGTCTATGTTTTCCCAATAAAACACAATAAGATAAAACTGTTTTGCTGGTTCTGGTAGATGGGCCGCTAGTTTATTGTGAAAGAAACTCGTGAGAGCTAATTCAAGCAGGCTTCATGAGTGGGAATCGGGGGCTTAATTTGTAAACCAAACAACCAAAGATGCAATCAGGAACGGCGCTTGTCTGTTCCCACTTCTGCTTCTTGCTTGCTGAAGCCTGAGGCAAAAAGAAAGAACCTTCCTGAAGCCCTTGCATCTGTTACTTGTAGTATTAAAGTGATTGTCTGGAACTCCAAATGAATTAAACATTTTAAGAATTGTATTAAATTGACCTCCTGGCCTTAAATGTTGATATAAAATAAGTCACTTTATGAAAAAAATAAAAATAAATATCGCATGGCGCCGTAAAGATGGTGCCGTGGCAAGAGCGTGTGTCTGGTGCACACTGGGGTAGTCTTGCACAGTTTTTCCTATGTGGTTTTACTGCAAATGGCTAATAAATGAATCTGAATCTGAATTCTAATATTACGGGTAAGTCCCGCCTTCCCTTCTCTTAGCTATAGCTCAAAATCCACTCACTTGCAGCTCAGTTGTTTTTTTTCACGGAACCTCCGAATCAAGCCTCCATTAGGCTCTCGAACTTTGTGAAAACTGAACAAAGAATTCTGAACATCCGCGCTGAGTTACCCATTTATATACTGAACCTATATCCATAATCATTTATATACTGAACCTATATCCATAATCAGATTCTCTGCAGATGTGTCCTATAATGTTCAATTAATGTTAATATGCACTTAGGGGTTTACCGCGATCGTTTTTTGTGTGTGTATTAAAATATTATTTTTGGCATGAAAACGTTAACAGATAATTCTGAATAAGTATAATGTGTTCTTCAATTAACATTTAAATGTGTTGATTGTTACGGAAACGTGGGCATAGACCAATCAGAAAGGAAGGGGGAGGAGTTTGTGTCATTTTTTTCAAATCATGTACCTCTCTTTCTTTTTTCTGACAAACTCCAGACAATACTATGTACAGTATGTGTGATGTTTATATATGTAGTGGCCTGACGCGATGTGTACTGGTGTCTACTAACTAAACGTATAACTCGTATACTATCAATAATAATGAAATTGTGAATCCTGCTCTAATCTAAATGGAGCTCAGTGTTTAAGTCGGCCTCTGAGTCTGTTATGGTCTTAAGAAGATGCCTGGGTGTCTGCGCACACCACAGCCTGGCTCAGTTCTTTAATTAGGGCTGAGCTTGACCTCTCGGTAAATGTTTCACATGATTTTCTTAGAAGGCTTTGAATGTGTTACAGACCGGCTCTGTGGCTGCAACAAAGAATAAGGGGTAACAACACTAGGACCAGTTTTAAAGCCATGTTTGGCATTTTATTGATAATGAATAATAATAGTATATTTCTGCGATCAGGGTAAGTGTAATGTGAGTGGCTGCGTGCAATGCAAGTATCGTCAGCAGGATAACCTTATGTGTCGATAGGAGTGTTGGATGAGAATGTGTTACTGTTGGCATGTTCTGTAAGTGAGAGGTGGGCTGAGGTGCGTGTGGTGCGAATGATAATCAGTATGATAACCTTTGTGTAAATGTACGTGTTGAGTGCAAGTGCGTGTAAGTCAAATCATAAGACGAACGAGCGGCGTGGCCTGACACGTCTGTCCCAGGACGTGGCCGGGACCAGAGTGTCAGAGGGCTGGAGGGAGAGAGAGCGCCATCAGGACACCTGCTGCTTTTGAGCGCACCGCCAGCCAATCAGGGCAGAGCTGAAAGAAAGTCAGGTTAGAAGGGGAGAAGGCGTACGCCCGGGCGCGTAACAGAATGTGATATTGTTGCAACAGTTGGGCAGACTAATGCTGTGTTCACACCAAACGTGGCCAAATACTCCAAAGCATCAGGTTTTCATAAAAAATACACAAGGGGACGTGCTTCAGGGAGCATCAAGAGATTGAGGACACATGGATCTTTTACAGGACAAGCTGATTGTCCGTGTTCATTCAGAGCTGCAGTTATAGACTATAACTACCGTGACAGAAACAAAAAAGACCTGGATCGATCCTGGCAAGGCTCCAGGAAGACAACAGATCCTCAACTAGGGAGGACAAGCTGATTGTTGCAGTCTGTGCTCGTTGAGAACTGTATGACCCCGCGGACTGTAACCACCGTGACAGAGACGGAGGTGGGTTAGCGAGGTGGTCGGTGTCTTGGGTAAGTTATTTAAACTTTTCACAATAGTAAATATTTCCCCGTGCAAAATCTGTAATGTTCGAGCAACTACTATATTCCCCATTTCGAGTTGATGTGTTAATTCAGGTGAAGCGTGCAAAAGGTGGTGGAAAAGTCTGGGACACATATGCAAAGAAGAGCAGGAAGGAGCAGGAGAAGATGAAGTCGCTTCGCTCTCTTCCCACTTGTTCAAAAGCTCGCTGACAGCATCTTTCATCAGTAAGCACAAGCGTCCAACTAGGCTCTTTGGCTGCGTTTTTTGCGGGTGCGAAGCACTGCATAGACTTGGACTCGCACATGACAGAGGAAAAACAGCATTTTTTGACTTTTGTGTAATCAATAATCAAAACAATATTTGATTGCCAGTTTTCATTCCTATTCATGGATTAGGCTCACCCTGGATTCTAATCCAGTGGTGAGTAGGTTGGTGAGTATGATTGCAATGGGGAAATTTCAGTGTTTCATCAGATCTAACCCACAGACTGGAGACTGGAGACCCTAACCCACGTTGGACTAGCAAACTTCCATAACGCGTACATGCATGTGTTATGTGTTTACACATATACTCAAAATATTCTCATATGTTCTCAAAATATTATGAGATTAATCATGTAAAATTATAAGAAAAAAACCCAAAAATATCACAAAATTGATCTTGTGAAATGTTGTCGTTTCACAAGAACCAGAAAAAATATTTAGGATGTTTTGATGCATCATATTATTTCTAGGCCTTTGTCAAATAGAGTTCATGTAAATTGTATTAAATTGTAAGTACAGTATATCTGTGGGGGCCGCAAGTCACTTTCAAGCCTCTTCTGGTGGTTGCAGCCTGAAAAGTTTAGGTACCCCTGGAGTGGAGTAAGACAAAGCAATATTATTTGTATCGCACAATTCATCCAGAGTGCTCCTCAAAGTACAGTAGAGTTGGTTAAAACAATGGAAAATAGGTGAAATTACAAGAATAAGGTATGCTTTTAAATAGTGCAGTATTAAGCCAGACAATAATTGCAACTGCAGCTCTAAAGAGTTTTTGCCGTACCTCGACAGCAATGTGCATCTGCTCGCACGCTGCCGGTTTGGGGGTGCCGCTCTTGACGAGTGGAGGGGCCAGGGTGAAGTTGTGAAGGCTCTCCCCCCATGAGGAGTTACTCAGCAGCGCCTCCTCTCTGTAGGACGCCTCCTCCGTCACATTCATCCTGCTCACGTCCAGTCCCAATCAGAGCCGCTGCAAACCGAATGCCATTCTGCAGACGCAGGAGAGAAGAGAGGGCAACATCACAAATGAGCAACAAGTAAAGCGCTTTTAGTCAGAATGAGAATGAAACTATGAATCAAATGAGGTGGATCCAGTTCCTGTTGCCTTCGGGGCAGAAGAGTTACAGTATGTTCTCCATATGTCCTTCTTCTAAAGTTGTTTCTCACAGCACAATGACAGAAACAACACTGTTATAGTCTAGTTAAATGTATCTGGATTTTAGAATAATTTACTTAAAACAAGATTAAAATGAAACGATAGTAAGTAAGCTGTAAAAAAGTGACTTGTGTGTTACAATGGATTTTTTTGTTTTCTACAGTAAATACTTAAAAGCACTTTTAAAATAGTTTTAAATTGTTTTGCTTGTGGTGGTTATGGTGTTGCTTGGGCACAATTTACCCGAGCCCCAGAACTAATAGTTCAAACCTCACTGACCAAAACTATTAATTCAATCCTCACTGACCCTACTTTTTCTATATTTGCACTGGAATTCAGTATTTCAGATGACCTCTTGATGTTTTCAAGAAAACACGGAACCAGCAGTGTTTACAGCAGTGTTCTTATTCTTTAAATGTTAGTTATACTCTTTGAATATTTAGAACGACAGTTAGAAAGAATCCTCTTTTAGAATAAACTTTAACTATTGGTTTAATAAATGAAAGCATTGGCTGAGGTTAGTGTGCCATTAGCTGGACCGGCAGCAATAACTATTTTTGAATTTCAGAATATTTTGTTTTCACATATCCGTCTGGTGTGAGCAAGGTTAGAACAAATCTGTAAAAAGTCAATTTCAATTTCTTAATATGTCCATTTGGAATACACACACATTGCTGGAATATTTTTGGAGGGAGGCCCTGTCGTTTAGGCCTCTAATGAGTCCATCTCTGCAGAGAAAGATCAATCTCCACAGTCCGCCTACATCATTTTTGATAAGAAGGAATATAGCTGGTGTCTGGAGGTTGGTAATGGGTTTTATTGATCACTTTATTGACCTCATTGACCTTCCACCACAATAAATACTATTCAGTTTTATTGAAATATGTCTGGAGGATAAAGAAATAGCAGCTCGTCTTGTCAAAGTTTGAGTGGTTAAAGCCAAAGTCCAAATCTAATTTTATTGTGACTGTCCAGCCTTATTTAATTTGAATGCTATTGTCTTCTTCCTATTACTGTACCAGGCTGAGACGAACAGTAATTAACCTTAGCTGCAAGGCAAAAAGAAATAAAAAAAACAGCACAGTTTGCTCTCTCTTATCTGCGGTACATGCACTTTTGAAGACAGTAATTGGAGGAAGTGGGGATTATTTCTGCCACTGTGGATTGTTTTGAGGCTCTGAGGCAAACAGCAGTCCAGCATCACTCTTTCATGCAACAATTGGACATAGTTAATCACAATTAACCTTTCAGAAGAGGCACTGCTATAGGGTACAGAACATTTAATTCAATTTGCTATTTGGAATTGATTATGAAAGAAAAGCACTGTCTGAATTATAATTGCAGTTTCACACCTTCTATAACACCAAAATGACACATGTGCTTTTTGTGGAGTCACACTTCACCCAGTCAGAGATTCAAACCTTTATTCAAACTTGCAATGAAGAAAACGATGCTTGAATCACAACTTATATTATATGTACATACTTCCATACATATACACGGCACAGTGGCTGAGTGGTTAGTGTAATGGCAAAACATTACATGAACATGGTTTAAACATAGTCGGTGAATTGTGATGATTAACAAATTGTTCAGAAGGTTTTGTTTTATGGCAGGAAGGTATTTGGGATGATGTTTGAGAAAGTTAAGATGCAGTTTGTTAGTGAGTTTAGTTATTAGACAGTGATTGACCATCTCCTTTGATATGACTGTTTCTCTTACCATACGGATGAGGAGATCTTGGAATGTCCTGTTCCTGTGTCCTCTGCCCCTGTCCTTAACCCTCCCTTGTTTCTCTGCTCTTCATACCTTGAGTTACCTATTTTCATGTAATCAGTGCAGAGATGTGACATGTGTTTTTCCTGTGGCCATTGGCCAATGAGGGGCCGGACCATCCTGATAAAGCTTGTGTGAATCCCATTGTGCGTCAGAGAGACTGATGCATGCGAGGAGCGGACTGCAGAAGCTTTCTTCATTTGCAAATGCTTGTTCTTATCATGTTCTTTTTACTGTCATTAAACCACACAAAATGCAACTCTGTTTCCATGGATCATTAAGGAAATTTCCACAACAATAGCGCTCTCGTTTCTCAGCAAGAAGGTCCTGGGTTCAAATCCTGGTAGGACCACAGTCTTTCTGATTGGAGTTTGTATGTTCTCCCTGTAGGTTTCCCCTACCACTAAAACCATGCACAATAGTTCTGGCATGCGCCTCATGTACGGGCGACCTCACTCCCATCTCTGTGAGGAGTGAGAGACAAATTACCACAACAATTGTGAAGCGCTTTGTGACTCTGGTCTGTGAAAGGCTTTATATAAATAAAGATTACTCACTTACTTACATAGGGTACATTTGTACACACTTACTTATACTCATATCCAGTAGCCTGAAGTGCCTCGAGTATTCTCCTTCTTATAATACTATTAATATTTTGTTTGGAAAAAAAAATTCCAACATGTTGTCTCATAATATTTCCTTGGTTAAACATAAGATTTTTCTCACACCAAAAAAGACAATTTACGGGAGAAACACTAAACTTTATCCCCTTCCTAAAAACACATAACACTACATTTAATCTTCCATGCAAACCTGTGAATGTAAAAAATACTTTTTTCTATTCACTTCTGATATTTTTACTCTACCTTTCTTTTAGCGTTGTCAAATCTGCAGGATTTGTCTTCAAAGCCCAAACATACCGTGTCAAATTGATGAGACTTATGCTGACAACACATGGGCGAGTTGTGTCAGGAGTCCAAAACAGAACCTTTACTGTAATGTTTCTGGGTAATCTCACTTTGCCCCAAGATCATTTGAAAATAAAACATCTGATAAGAAAAGTGGTTTGGACAAAAGGACACAAGCCTCGTTTTGTGGTTTAGATTACGACGAGTAAATACAATAAATTGGATGCTAGACCGAAACAACATTAAAAAAGTTTCCTGAGATAACATGAGTCTTAAGCAGTTGCAAATAGACCCATTAAGGTGTTATCCCGTTAAATTATTATTATTAGTTTATTTGATATGGACATATCAACTGCATTGGACAAACCAGATACATTGTTTCCAGGTTTATAGCAAAACTGCTAATTTGCAACACCTGTCCATAGGAGGCTACACATTTCAAAAAACACAATACAATACAGTGCAATATTTAAAAAGGTGATGTGATGTAAATGATGTGAAGCCGAACTAAAGGGATAGTTATTGGGCTGAGCTTCTCAAATGTTTATCAAAGAGTCAAGTTTCTCCAGACATCAATGGCTTCAGACAAGGGAGAGGGGCTGTAGGGCTTTTCCCAGAGGGCTGCAGCCAGGGGAGAAAGAGAAAGAGTGGAAAAGTCACTGGACAGACAGATTAGATATGATAAAAAAGATTCATGTATATAATATTTGGTAAACAAATATGTGTTTTCTATCATTGCATTTCTTGTGTTTGAACTGTTTGATTCTCTGATCTATTTTGTGCAGAAAACTACTGTTAGAGCTATACAAGTATAAATTGAATTGAAACAAATTTGAATGAAATAAAATTGAATTGAATAAATACATAAAATAAAGTTCACAAACAAGAAAATAGCATCACGTACTGTATATTTAAATGAATGGGTGGCACGGTGGCTGAGTGGATTGCACTCTTGCTTCTCGCTGAGTGGAGTTTGGATGTTTTCCCCCGTGCATCCGTAGGTTTTCCTCCGGGTGCTCCGGTTTCTACCACTAAAAACATGTTCGATTGGTAAAATCCTCCAACTCAGGTGGTCCTGACCAAACCAAGCATAAACATCTGGAGTTGAGTCCCCGGGTGCTGTACTACGGCGACCACTGCTCCTGACGAAAGCCTTAGAGGCATCAGGATGGGTCAAATGCAGAGGATGATTTGCCCTACTACAGGGATAAAGAAAGTGCATCTTTACCTTTGCCTTTACCAAAACCAGGTACAAACATCAGTAATCTTAATAGTAGTAGTCTAACAGTAATCTTAGTATTCAAGACAAAGCTTGTTCCATTTCTTGCTGAATCCCAGCAGGTGGTTTGCATCTGTAATCAGTGCTTAGAAGCTGTATGTGTGACAGATTCCATGCAAATGTTCAGTGGGATTGAGGTCAAGGCTGTGATGGGACCTCCTACACCTTGACCTTGTGTGCTTGAGTTATTATTGTGTTTGTTTGGAAGTGTTCGTGGGGTCATCTCACTGAGGTCTTAGAGTCGTTTCCAAATGTCCACATTGTTTTTCTTCTTCTTGCTGCTGTCGGGCGCACAGCTCCCCCTGCAGCAAAACAGCCTCTCAACATGAAGCTTTGATCGTGTCTGCCATATTTAGATGCCTCAAGATTTACATTCATATTCATATCCATGCTTTGATCTCTTCTGCCATCTTTAGATGAATTTACTATCTAGATTTACCTATTCATAACTGTGATTGATTTTAGAAGTCCTCTATCTCTTACGAAGTAAGTGAGTCATATTTATGTATATAGCACCTTTCAGATTGAATGTTGTACAATTGTTTTTCTCACTCCACATGAGGATGGAAGCAGGATCGCCAAACAGGAGGTGCATAGATGATAATTGTACGTACAATAAACGTTTGGAGGTGATGATAAGAAATAAAAGCTTGACAGAAAGTTTGAAATGCAAAATTACGAGTTTAAAACTCATCATTTAGTTAGAATTACACAGTTGATTGTAGAAAAATCAGTTGTTCAGTAACATGTCACAGGAGTTGGTCCAGAAGTTTAGGAGATGCTATACAACAAATGAAATACTTCATCTTCTTGAAAATGCT